AAAAAAAAAAAAAAAAGGCTATTTTATGTTATTTATAATAAAATAAGCTAGAAACAAGGCACTTTTTTTTCAAAATATCAGAAACAAATTGAGGTATTTTGTTGTTGTTAAGTGTTGTCGAGTCTGTTCTAACTCATAGTGAAGCTGCATAGGGTTTTTGAGTCTGTAAATCTCTATGGGAGCAAAAGCCTTATGGTTAGCAGTCCAGTGCTTCTCATACAGAACCACCGTGCTTTCTACATTGAAGTATATGGTGATGGTTGTATGCCACCAAGTTGGATCTAACTCAGCAACTCTGTATAGGGTCCCAAGGTTGTAAATCTTTACAGGAGCAGAAAGCCTAATTTTTGTTCTGTGGAGCAGCTGGTAGATTTGAACTTCTGAACTTGAGATTAGCAGCTCAGCTCAAAATCCACTATGCTACCAGGGTTCCTTAAATTGAGGTAAACTTACTTCCAAACTACCGGGTTAGGTAATGGCTATGAAATACAATATGAATTAAAACGTGTGGGAACAAAACGTAACAAAAAGGGGAACTTCTGTTTATAAAGATGACAGACTGTGCATGCATTTATCTTCACTGCTTCCCTAAGGTCTTTGTAGTTGTTGTTAAATGTAGTCAAGTCAGTTTCAACTCAGTGACCTTGTATAGGGTTATGAGGAGCAGCTGGTAAGCTTGAACTGTCGGTCTGGCAATTCAAATTGACATTGTGGTCCAGGGCTTATTCTGCAGCGCCAAACCAGGACTTCAAGGTCTTTAATTAAAGTTTTAAAAGGAGAAGGCAAATAATATAAAGAACAAATCAAATGGAAAAATGAGAAGTGATTTAGCATGTCTAGCATTGGGTAAAGTAAAAAAGAACTCCAACTTGAAAAGAATCCTCAAAAAATTTAGAAGTTTGGTATACCAAATATGACTGAAAATGGAATTAAATGTGGGACTGATATAGTATTGGTAAAAAGTATATTTCTGGAAAAGAGTCTCAGATCTCCTTTCCCACCCCTAATAAGAATTTCTGGAGTGACCAGATGGAAGAAGGACAGAAGGCTCTGGAAGAGAAGTCTCTGGGAAGCTGAAAGAGATAAACATATCTGAATGTATGCAGGGAGATTTATACCTGGAATATAAATAGTGTGAGAAAAAGAATCTTCATTTCCCAGAGTAGGAAACTGAACTGAAAGATGATGCCTAAGAATGCAAAGTCAAGCAGTCCCAATGTAAAAATAGACCAAAATACATGGCTTTTAAAAAAAATGTTTAAAGTGGGAAAGAAGGTGGGAATAAGTCATACAGAACCATGTAACTTCTAAAAGAGAAAAAGAAAAAAGTCAGATGAAATGATAATAGAAGTTTTATCTTTGGGCTACAGGGTTATAATTTTTTTCATTGCCTTTTCCTATATTCTTCCCATTTTCTACAATGAACACGTATTACACTAAAACTAATTTTTTTTGGCAAGAAGAGATTGCTCTGGATTTTTCTAAGAGGAATACTTCCTGTACCAGGTCCTGAAGAAGAGAACTCCTCTGTAGGCCAAGGGACATCCAGGATTCTTTGTCAGATGCAAGATGGGCTATAATGCCTGCAGCTAAATAGCTGACTTCCATTTCTTTGCTATGGAGCAAACCGCTGATATGCTTCACCACATCTTCGGTCACCAAGTTGGAAGACAGCTCTTTGACTTCGGCTATGTTGTTCTACAGGTTGGATGGAACAGAGAATACCAGGGGCAGGAAAGCAGGAAAGAAACAGGAACTAGCTCTTCTCCCTTTCTACTGCTATGTTTAGATACATTCAAAATAGTTCTTTTTCATCTTCCTCCCTCCCTCTCAATTCAGCCTGATACCTATAACTCCACCTTCTTGGTGATGAAGATCACTGGTAACCAATCATTGCTTAATTACTTACTAAGTGCCAGGCACTGTACAAAATACACAAAAAGGGCTTTTTACATACTTTTTCTCACTCAATTCTTAAATTATCCTGCAAAAAAAACCTTGGCACTTAGCAAGACTATCTTGTCAGGTTCACACTGCTAATAACCAGTAGAATCATAACACAAATCCAGGCATGATTCAAGTATGCAACCCAGCCTGTTATACACTATGTTATCTTGAAATTTTAGCAAGAATGAAAGATGAGTATTTTACTTTACAGAATGTACTTGCTTTCTATGCTGCGTCATAAATTACCAACAATTTAGTGGCTTAAAACAACATACTTTTTTTAAAAAAGCAAACAAACAACTATTTATTATCTCACAGTTTCTGTAGGTCAGGCATCCAGACACTATCTAGGTCCTCTACTCTGAGGTCTCACAAGGATGCAATCAAACAATTGGCCAGGCTGCCTTCTCCTCTGCAGGTCTGACTGAGGAGATTCCATTTCCTTGTGGCTACAGGACTCAGAATTCACAACTAGGCAGTCTGGCTCCAGAATCTCTAATATTAACCACTTTGCTATGTTGTTGTTAAGTGCTATTGAGTCAGCTTGAACTTGCAGGGACCCAGTACCAGGCTAACAAGGAACTGGTAAGTTTGAACCACTAACCCTGTGGTTCAAACTGATCTTGCAAGTACTATAATACTTTATCATATAAATTTTTATTAGGATAATTTTTCAGAAATTTCTTTGTTTACACTTTTGTACTGCCAATCATGATAATCTACAACTGAGGAATTTCTTTGCTTCCTAAAGATAGTGATATATAATTTTATTACATAAAGACTTGGGGTAAATGACCTGTCTCTTCCTCAGATTCTGTATTTATAAAAATGTGAGTAACACTGTATAAGACATGCCAGATTTTCTCTTTATCACTGTGTGTATATATATATATGTTCTTTAGCAATGTGACTTTGCTGTTCCTCCCATCAAGGGGTAAAGTCTTTTCCTCTAAATTCTTTAACCTGGGGCTTAACCATGAAACTTGCTTTGGCCAATGGAATATTAGCAAACGTAATGTAGAAAGAGGTTTAAGAAGCACTTCTATAATGGGCTTGCACTCTACTGCTGCCGGGTGATCGCCGTTAAGTACAAAGTGCAGCCAACAGACCGCGCCATCTGCCAAACACGAGAGACAGGCCACCTTAGACCATCCAGCCCCAGTAAAGCCAGATGACTGACACTATATGAGTAACCGCAGGTGAGACCAGCAGAACTGTCCAAGAGAGTCCACCTTAAGCAACAGACCCGCAGAATCTCACATAAAGACGATGTTGTTTTAAGTCACAAATTATAGTCTGTTCATAGCAGTAGATGACTGATACACAATGGCATTTACTTTATTGGGATGATACGATGAGTGATACATGTCAACCAGTTACTTACAACAGTGATTAGCATAGTGTTGTTAAGTGTTGCTGAGTGGGTTCCAACTCATAACAACCCTATATAGGGTTTCTGAGGAGTGATTGGTGGGTTTGAACCTCCAACCTTACACTGAACAGTTCAGTGCTTATCCTACAGTGCCACTTCGTATGTACTACATAAGCATTTGCTTTCTTCTTTTTTAAGTAATTAGAATTAACTCAAAATAATTCTCTTACCAAAAAGCCAAGAACTTTGATTTGTATTGCTGACTCTGAAAAAGTCTGTCAAAAGAACATGCAATTAATAAGTTTATCATGAGGAAACACACTTTACATATAAACTCAATCCTGTCTTTTCACCTCCAAGACTTGGATGAAGATTGCCAATCCTTCATTTTCAATAAAGTGCTTGCACACAGCTGGAGAATCATCTGAAAGATTCCAAAGTGCTTTCAAAGTAAACAAGAGGGTGACATCATCTAAATTCTCAATCATCTTCTGTTTTACTATTGCTAGAAGCTCCTGAAAACCAAAAGACAAGGAGTAAGATGCTCTTATAACTGACAATCCATTCCAGTATACAGAAAGCAATAGTTAAGATGACGTTTAGAATCAAAGCTGGGTTCCAAACCCAAGTTCCAGCATTTAATAGCTGTGTGATCCATTTTCTCTAGTAAAATGAATTATACCTACCTCTTAAGGTTTTTTTTTTTAAAATTGGATGAAAAGAAATAAACAAATGTTAATGAACATTCAGTCCAGTTCTTGGTGCCTGATATAAAGACTCGTAATCAAGTATACAGCAGCTTCAGAACATTTAGAGAGCACCTCTGTATTAGAAATTCCTGTAAGTCAGGTTGGAGAAAGAACTGTTTTTCTCAACTATATTAAAGAATTTCAAGTTTTGATAAGTGATTTACAGGAAAAGAGTAAAAGCCTAAGACTTAACATTAGAACAAGTGGGAGTGAGAGGCCTCTCATATAACCTAAGACCTGAAGAAAAAGGATACGGCAGCCAAGCAAGGAATGGAACTTGGGATTGGAAGAGTATGCTAGGCAGAAAGAAGAGCACATACAAAGTTCTGAGGCAATTAAACATTTACTGAAGGAGTCCTGGTGGTACAGTGGGGTTAAGTAGTGAGCTGCTATCAAAAGGCTAGCGGTTTGAACCCAACAGCCACTCCATATGAAAAACATGTGGCAGTCTGTTTCTATAACTGTTATAGCCTTGGAAACAGTATAGAAACTGTGGATACCATTCTACTCTGTCCCATAGGTCACTATGAGCTAGAATCTGTTTGATAGCAACGGCCATTGAATAGGCCAGTGTGGGTGGAGTATGTCAGTATGATAGCCACATGATCTCACAGCTTGAGGAAACCACCAGATCACTTCAATGAAGCTTCTTATGTCTCATTTTGTTGTTGTTGTTGTTATTAAGTGCCATGGAGTCAGTTCTGACTCATAGTGATCCTGTACAGGGTTTCCAAGGAGCCGCTGGTGAGTTTGAACTGCTGATCTTGTGATTCAAACCAACCTTGCAGTCCAGTGCTTTATCCTACAGCAGCACACCAGGACTCCATGTCTCATTTTAGATCAGAATATTACTGAACACAAGTACAGCTAGTATTTATGTTTTATTTTCTTTCAAATATATTGATTGTTATTTGAGAGGGAAAAAAAGCAATTTTCATTTTATCTATTAACTAAAAGATACAAAAATATAAGCCCAGTGACCCAGAAAGCAGCCACTCTGGTCAGGCCCAAGACTAGATGCTTTTCATGCTTTATCTTAATGGTATTCAAAATAACCACAAGACAATGGCTACAAAATCCCAGGCAAAGTAGAGAGAGATAAATTATAAAGGCACATGGTGGTGTGAGAAATAACTCTTGTGGGTGTGGTCCATCTTCAGGAATTCATGAGACTGCTAGGCCTGGCAGACAGATTGTTGATTTACATACAGGGAGGACTATGTAACCTGACTGTTCTAGGACGTGAAAATTTAAGTAAGAATACAGCCATTAAGACAATGGGCAAGCTATTTTGGCTTCTCTGGGAGAAGGGAAAATGGGATGTACCATAGAATTGCATATGGGGAACTGGAACTGGAGGAGGGGCTTTTTGGAGACGAGAATAAAAACCTGTTTGTGGTGGCCCCTATAGTGCGTCGGCCCCTGTCTACTAGGTTGGGTGCCCAATTCTGCAAAAAGAAAACCTCTCTCTCACTAAAATGAATACAGATTGGATTACTTGAGTATTTGTCAACATAGGCAAGGTTTCTCACAGTGGTTAAGTGGCTAAGCCTGATCTATTTTAATCTAAAGCCTGAGATCTTGGCATCTTTACCTTAAACTGCCTCTCCAAAGACTCCATTATTTGCTACAATGGTTCTGTGTTCTTTCATTACTTAGATAAATGTGTTGCTCTCTATATACGTGTGGTGCTGTAGAATCAGCACTGGACTGTGAATCACAAGGTCAGCAGTTCAAACACACTAGCTGCTCCTCAGATACCCAGTACAGGGTGGTGATGAGTCGGAACCCACTTGGTGGCACTAACAGCAACAATTCCCAGCAACACCAATGATTCCTTCATCACATACTATCTTGCAAAAACTTCTACCTTAGTTAAATCAACTATCAGTTTACTCCATGTGTCTCTCAAAATAGCTGAATATCTAAAAATATTGTACTCAGCTGGTCAATATCAGTATCTGATAACAAATTTTTAATTGTCATAGAACTGTACCTGGCAATTCTACCATATTTCCCACGATTCTCTCTCCTCAAACTTCATTCCCCATCTTCTTATGCCTCATTTGAACACTTCATCTCATTTTTCACTGAAAACTATAGTTCTTCCTAACAAAACCTACCAATCTACTTGTACTTGTTTTCCTTCCTCCCTGCTCCTATATAAAGCCTACCATTTTACTTTTGCTCTAGATCCACTCCCCAGAGAAACACAATATAGCACCAAAATTATTTTCCTCAGTCTTGCCTATGATCTCTTTTAAAAACTATTCTCATGGGCATAAATTTATCTTAATGTAACATACCTTTTAAACAAACAAATCGTACAGACTCTATGTTAAGTGCCATCTCGAGTCAGTTCCCACTCATAGTGACCCTGTATAGGGGTTCTAAGCAGCAGCTGGTGAGTGTGAACTGTCAACTTTGCGGTTCAAACTGACCTTCGGTCCAGTGCATTTTCCTGCAACGCCTCACCAGGCCTCCTCTAGACTCCATTGTTGTTGTTGTTGTTAAGTGCCATCGAGTCGGGTCCGACCCATAGCGACCCTGTACAAGGTTTCCGAGGGTGTAAATCTTTACGGGAGTAGAAAGCCTCATCTTTCTCCCGCGGAGCGGCTGGTAGTTTCGAACCGCTGACCCTAAGGTTCGCAGCCCGATTCGTAACCACTACGCTACCAGAGCTCCTTACTAGACTCCATAACGTTTCCTTATTTCTTGGAATCTCATCAAGACATAGCAAAAAGTTGTCTGCATTTTCTAAATCCCCATTTGCTTATCATCATTACTCCAATCAGGATTTGCCCCACTTTTCTACTAAAACAACATAATCTAGATCACCAAAGACTTTCATCTGCCAAACCCAGTTGTTAACTGTTCTGTTTCATTCAGCCAATCATTAGCATTTGACACATTTTCCTTGGATTCTGTGATACCCCTCTCTCCTGGCTCTCTAACTTACTTTAGATGCTCCTTCTCCATGTCCTTTCCTGACTCCTCCTATTCTTCCAACATAAGTATGTGTTGTTGTTATGTGCTATCCAGTTAGTTCTGACTCACAGTGACCCTGTATAGGGTTCTGAGGCTGTAAATCTTTACACGAACAGAAAGCCTCTTCTTTCTTCCACAAGCCTCTGCACTTTTCTTCTAAAAAGCCAGCCTTTCTTATACATACATTGTACATTCATTCTAGGTGATCTCATTCACTATCAAAATGATATTCATAGCCCTCTTGGTGTGGAGCTATGGGTTAATGCACTGGACTGGTTTGAATCACAAGGTTGGCAGTTCAAACTCACCAGCCACTCCTACAAAACGCTGCACAGGGTTGGTATGGGTTGGAACTGACTCGACAGCACTTTAACAGCAGCAGCATCAAACTGATTACTTGACATTTCAAACATCTCAGAAATTAATGTGTCCAAAACCACTTTAAAAAAAAAAAGATTTCTTGTAAATTGAGTAAAGCTTTACAGAATAGTTCACTGGTCTCACATTCAACAAACCACTCATAATTTTTATCCTCTAAACCTACTGGATGGATACCAAATATTTTCAAGATTCGATTAAAAACAACAGGAAACATACTTCTGGGGGAAATGAAATTAATGGAAAACATCCTGTTTTCATACAGGAAGAATCAGTATCACAGGGATATTAATTCTTTTAAGTCAACTGATAAATTTAACATAATCCCAAAGCAAAACTGTTGAATGATGATGCATGGAGGAGATTGTAATCATTGCAATGAAATGAAGGTGTAAAGCTGATGTTTTCCCATTCAAACTAGCACTCAGCTCACAATTAAAAAAAAAAAAATGACACTAAGAAAATTTGAATACACAGAGCAAACTTAAAATTAATGGAACATATTAGAATCTATAAATAGATGTAAATACATGTATATGATGTTGTTGAGTGCTGTCCAGTTGATTCCTACCCATAGTGACCCTGTACAGGTTTTCTGAGGCTGTAAATGTTTACGGGAACAGAAAGCCTCATCTTTCTCCCACAGAACTACTGGTAGTTTGGTAGTTTCAAACTGCTGACCTTGAGATTAGCAGCCCAATTCATAACCATTACACTACCAGAGCTCCTTTAGTATATAGGATAAAAGCCAAGAAAAGAAAAAAAATTATTCAATAAAGGATATAGAAGCATTTGAGTAGACATTGGGAAGAAAAGTTATAATAGCTCACTACAATCTCAAAAACATTGTGAAAGAATCAAACATTCACATGCTTTAAGGAGAGAAAATGAGAAAATGTAGAAGTACTAGATTAAAAAATAAGTATTAAAAAAAAAAAAACCTTCCAAGGAGTAGGAAAATACTTTTAAAGTATGCTATCAAATGATCCCAAAGAGCTCTGGTAGCACAGTGGTTACAAGTTGGGCTGCTATCCTCACAGTCAGCAGCAGTTCAAAACTACCAGCAGTTCTGCAGGAGAAAGATGAGGCTTTCAGCTCCCGTTAAGGTTTACAGCCTCGGGAACCCTGTGCAGGGTCGCTATGAGTCAGAACCGACTCCACAGCACATAACCACCATCACCAATGATTCCAGAGGGCAGTGAAGTGGGTCTTTATGGATCAACACTGGACATCGAATTACAACATTGGTGGTTTGAGCCCACCAGCAAATCCACAGGAGAAACATGAGGCTTTCCTCTGCAAAGATTTACAGCCTTGGAAACCCTAAACAGTCTCACTATGAGTCGGAACCAACTCAATGGCACTTAACAACAATAACAATTATCAATCCCAGAGGCATTTAAAAATAAATAAGTAAATTTAAACAATTAAAATTTTTTAAATATTGTAGGGTAAAACATGCCATATATGAAGTAAACCCAGACAAATAGCCAACTAGGGAAAATACATGCATCTTTTCTTATAGTCAAAGGTCTATTTCCTAAATATATACAGAAATACTGTAAGTTAAAAAAAAGTCAACAAATCAAAAGAAAAATATGTAAATTCACAGAACATACAAGGGACTCCAAAGTTTAAAAAACTAAATTAGTTCAAATCTCATCTCAGAATAAACAGAAGTTCAAAGTAAGATGATGTACAATTTCAGTGAGCAATGTTAGTATAATCATAATAATGTAAATACAGAAAATGTGTTTAGGGTCGGTGGAAGAAGGTAATTGGCAGACATTTGTAGGAGAGCTAAATCCATATTCACCTGGCAGAAAAGTCAGTATCTGTATCTAAAACTGACAAATCAAAAATTACGGGACTTAGAAAATCTTTTATTTATCAATGTGGCGATAAATACAAGAAGCAACAGTTGTAGATCTGACAGATTTTCCACACACAGATTCACAAAATCACATACATATTTTTCATTATAGGACTTTCAGAATGATTTGATTTTTTTAAACTGAATTTATGAAATCACTTTAACAACAAAAAGGATATAAAAGTAACAATCAGCTTACTTTGACCGCCATAAGGAGCTCTCCCTTGAGTTGTGCACTTTGTTCAGGTGAGAGCTATAAGTAAAAATAGAGTGAAATATAGCAAATCTGTGAAGACTGGGAAAATAGGAATCTTGACTTAGGAGCCACATACCTGCAGGGCTAGAAGAGAGGTGATGCTCACTGCCATTGTTTGCATCTTGGGGTTTTCACGGTCACAGAGCCATCTCATGACAAATTTGGCAGCATCAAATCTGAAAAGCAGTATTGATTTTTCTCACAATAATAAAGTTTGTGGAACTGTATGTGGGGAGAGAAGAAATCACTTAGCCTCCCCTTTCTAAATTCTGTTAACAGAAATAGCCTTGGAGTTCTAAAACTTCAGCTATGAAAAACAAAAGCATTTGGCAAACAGGATTCTAAGAAAGATGGACAGTTTCTACTGTGATGAGCCTGAAAATAAAGAAGTCCCTTAAGAGGTAGTCACTTGTCATTTGAATTCTACGCAGTGCTAAAATGTAAGTCAATCAACCAACTACAGTGGCATAGCTTACAACTCACACCCATAGATAAAGAGGCTTTGTTCTTATCAGTCTGCACTTCACTTTTCTGCTTTTTAAGCAACTCTTTAAATACATGAACCTGGAAGATCCCAAAGGTCCCACGAAGAATCCCTCTGGAATTTCTAGAATGATGATTTTTTAAAAGTTATTAATAATATCAAAAAGAATGACTAATATTTAAAACAGCCTATACTTCTGAAACTGTTGTTGTTGAGTGCCGTCAAGCTGGTTCTGTTCCACAGTGACTCTGTACAGGAGCTGAACTCAAACCACCAACCTTGCAGAGTTCAGCACATTCACCTACAGTGCAACACTGGTACTTCTTAACTTTCCAAACATTATCTTACTCAATTCTCCTAAGAATCACTGCTTTACAAATTTCAACAGAAGGGTTCATGTTCTTACCCACTGTCCTGTATTAGAATTGCACTTTGGGAGGCAACATTGAGAAGTAATCTTGTCCCCTAAACACTATCCCAACCCTCATCAGGCTCAGGCTAAGGAACTGATTAAGAGCTAACAGTACTCAGAGTTAACCCTGGTCAATGTTCCAATCAGAAGATGAAGCTTTATACTTGCCTGTCAAATGGAACATCCACAAGAATCCTGGAATTGGTTAAGGAAAGTAGGCAGTTCTTCTGTAACTTTTAGGGAATAAAAGAAAAAGAATCTTGAGCAAATGTATATCCTGTTCTAAACAACATTCTTAGCATTTGGAAGGTGCGACCAGTGAGTTTTGCTGTTCATATTCTACTGAGGACACACTATGTACCTGGCCCTTTCCAAGTTTCGCACTTAATCTCTGCCTAAAGAACAATCCCTCCAGTTTTGACCATGAAGGGTGTATACCCACTGCATCCTGGCAGGAAAGCAGTCTGCCTGTATGCCAGTATACAAGGGAGCTTAAAAAGTTTGTAAAATTTTTTGCTGGTTTTTAATTCCACTTTTCCACAGACTTTTTGAAACTACCTTCATAGATGATCCACCAGAATCTTGGCCATCTACTGGATGGCATATGTCTTTGTCAGAGTGCTTATCTACCTCTGTGATAGAGCCTACTTTCTACCTACGATCAGCAGGGGTTGAGCATTTATGAAAGAAAATGTTCATAAATGTTACATTTATGAAAGAAAAAGGGCCTCCCTTGGAAAGAATCTGAGGAAAGGTATAAACCAGGGAAAAAAACACACAAAAAAACAAAACCCAGTACTACTGAGTTAGCTCCAACTCATAGCAACCCTATATAACGTTAACAAGGCTATACATCTCAAAGGAGCAAAAAGACTTATCTTTCTCTTAAGGAGGTTTGAACTACTGACCTTGTGGTTAGCAGCTTGGTGATCATCCTAAAGTGCTATCCAAAAAAATACAGGAATAGAAAAATATAACAGCTCTTTGTAAGGGTACAAGACTACCCTCCTTGTTGTATTAAAAAAATAACAAGCCAAGTCATATTAAAGTATACACACTTCAATTGTTGTTTCTTGTTCAGTACCCTCTAGTTCGGTTCCAAGGAGTTCTGGTAGCCAAGTGGTTACGAGTCAGGCTGCTAACCTCAAGGTCAGCTAGTTCGAAACTACCAGCGGTTCCGCAGAAGAAAGATGAGGCTTTCTGCTCCTGTAAAGACTTACAGCCTCAGAAACCCTATATAGGGTTGCTATGAGTTGAATCTGACTTCATGGCACACCACCACCACTACCAGTTTGGCTCCGACTCCTAGAGACCCTGTATAGGGTTTCTGACCTTGGGTTAGCAGTCCAGTTCTTTACCTACAATGCCACACCAATTCATACACCAGTGTAACCACAATCAAGATATAAAATATTCCCATCACTTCAAAGAGTTCCTTTCTGCCCCTTCTATTCATTACCAACCCCAGAAAAATTATTGTCATTATAGATAAGATTTGTCTTTTCTAAGATTCCAGATTATTTTGTTAAGCATATTTTTTGATGTGGTTGCATGTGTTATCACTTCATTCCTTTTTATTATTAATTTACTTAGTATGGCACTGTGGGATTAGCAGGGACTGGTAACTACAAGGTCAGTAGTTCCAACTCACCAGCCGCTCTCAGAAAACCTATACAGGGTCTCTAAGAGTTGGAACTGACTCAACAGCACACAATGACAACAAATATTTCCTTATATGATTTTGCCATTCACTTAATAGGTAATTGGGTTATTTCAACATTTATTTTGCAATTATGAATAACTATTGTAAACATTCATGTATAAGCCTCACGTGAATATATGATTTTGCTTGGTGTTTTGGGCAAGCATTGGGCTACTAACTACAAGACCAGTGGTTCAAACCCACTAGCTACTCCACGGGAGAAAGATGAAGTTGTCCTTATTATAGACAAGCAAGTTTTAAAAGGTTCATGGAAAAAATGGAATTAAAAGCTATTGGAATCAGAGCTCAACTAGAATAAGAAAGAAGAGGAAAAAAGTATTCTGATACAATTTGATGAACTTGACCTACACCTATGGATACAGTAGCTCAAAAGAGGGAACAAATCTTTACAGCGAGGATCATTCTCAACCCCTCCCTCCATACACAGAGTAGACAGAGATGGGAAGCTTGGACATTGGCTACCCAAAATAGGGGGAGCTACAAAGGCGAGAAGTGACTGGCTTACAAGTTTTCAAGAGGGAGCCTAGATCCAGAGGATGCGAAGGAAGGTAGAATCTTCACTGAGTAGTATCCAATCTGTCTAGGCGAGGCTGATGAAAAGAAATGCAGATAGGTCTCTTGTGATACAATAGTGAATAATTGTTATCAGGATTGATTGTGAGGGGTGGAAATGTAAAAGTAGATGTTTTGTAGCAAAAGGAGGGGAGTGATGAACTTTGCAGTCTAGGAGCAGAGGTCCCTGGGACCATCAAGGGAGAAGAGCAGAGAGTGGGACACCACCCAGTGGAGCAGTGACACCAGAGATGGAGACAGAGACCATGATGTGGAGAGATGGAGTGACTGGGGATTCTAGACCCAGGGAGAGAGAGGAGCTGTGTGCTGAGGACTTGGGGGTAGGCTTTGGTTGTTTGATGATGTATGGAGGGGATTGTAGGATTGGCAATAAAACGACATACGATAGGATGAATGTAAAGCTAATATTCTCCCATGTAAACTATCACATAATTCACAATAAAACATTAAAAAAAAAAAAGCTAATGGACCCCTCACATGACTGAAACTCAAAGGAAACACATGAGCAGGAATATAAGCTGGCTGGTGACCATGAGAAAGATTAAAAAAAAAAAAAAATTTTCTGATAAAGGAAACGAGTATAAATGGCTACAATTTGATGAACTTGACCTATATTTATGGATGTAGTAGCTCAAGGTAGTGGAGTCCTGATGTGGTGCTGTGGGATAATGTGCCAGACTGCAAAGCCATTTGAAGTCAGCAGTTCAAGTTCACCAGCTGCTCCTTGGAAACCCTATAGGGTCGCTATGGGTTGGAACCAACTCAATGGCACTTCACAACAACAGCTCAAGGTACTAACTGAGAGGGAAGGAATCTTCACATCAGATATCAGTCCTATCCCCTCTGTATACAGAATAGATAGGAACAGGCAACTTAGACATTGGCCCCCTAAAATGATGGGGGTGATAGAGGGATAAAGTGATTGGCTTACAAATTTTTAAGAGGGAGTTTAGCTTAAGAGACTGCGGGGGAGATAGAGTCTCCACTGAATAGTTTTCATCTTGTCTAGATGGTCTGGTGAAAAAAGATGGGGATAACATTAAGATTCAATAGTAACTGTTATCATGACTAATTGTGACTGTTATAACTGTAAAGGTTTCGTAATAAAAATGGGGGAGTAGTAGTCCAGCAGCAAAGGACCCTAAGATCATCAAGGGAGAAGAGCACAGGCAGAATGTGAGACACTATAGAGAGAAGTAGCGACACCAGAGATGGAGGCAGAGATGGGTACATGGAGAGAGGAAGCAGTTGGGGACTCTGGACTCATGGAAAGAGAGGGACTGGGTACTTTTGGACAGGAGGCAATCTTGCAGAATGTGCATTATGGTTGTTTAAATGATTATATATTCCTGAGTGTTTTGTGTACATCCCACCTCCCTTACCTGCCCCCCCAAACAAAACAAACCAGAGGGAATGTAAGCAAATACTGTTGGATGATGACACACAGAGATTGTAATCATTGTAATGAAACGATGGCATAAAGCCAGTGTTCTCCCATGTATACTATCACTCAGTTCACAATAAAACTTAAAAATAAATAAATAATGGAATTGAAGTGTGAGGTCCCTAACTAGAAAAGCAGCGACAGTGGCAGAGGCAGTGGCATGGAGCAACAGAGCGGCTGCGGGCTCTAGGGTCATGGACTGAGAAAGACTGTGTGCCTGCAGAATGTGCCCTTTGGACATTTACATGAATTATGTATTTTTTGATTTATATGTGTACATAAAATATTTTTGCTTTGTTTTATTTGTGAAATATAAGATGTAAAAGGGAAGGTGCAGGGAGGAAGCAGGATAACTTATTGTAGGAAGGGGACTATAATCATTGAGATGAAACAGTGTATAATTTGTTGAATATAAAGCTAATGATTTTGTCTGTAAACCTTCACTCAAATTCACAATAAAAACTAAAAAAAAAATAGATAACGGAATTATTGCATGAACTTTTGGAAGCCCTCTCACATACACATGCATGCACGTGTGTGTGTGTGTGTGTGTGTGTGTGTGTGTGTGTGTGTGTGTGTATATACAGACATACACATACATCTACACCTGGAGTACTGGTGTGGCGCTGGACTACTAACTGAAAGGTCAATGGTTCAAATTCACCAGTCACTGCTCAGAAACGCTATATGGGTAACTGTGAGTCAGAACCAACTCATCGCCACTAAACAACATACGTTAATACATGTATACATATATGACATTTTGTCCAGTCTGTGGCTGACTTTTTCATTAAAATTTTTTTTGCGTGTGTGAGCAGTTTCTAATTTTGATGAACTCCAGTTTTTTTATGATATACACTTTCTCTATCTGATCTAAGAAATCTTTGCCTGGTACTGCAAGGCTAAAAATATTTTCTCCAGTATTTTCTTCTTGAAGTTTTAGTTTCAGCATTTATATTGATATCTGTGATTCAACGCAACTTAATTTTTGTGTATGGTAGGAGCAGTTGTTAAGTGTTGTCAAGACGGTTCCAACTCATAGGATACCCTGCCTAGTTTCAAAGGAGCTGCTGATGGGTTTAAACATTGCTCTTGTAATTCAAAATAACCTTGAGGTCCAGTGCAGTGCGACACCACGACTCCATGGTGGGAGGTTCAAAGTTCAAGTGTCAAAGTTCATTTTTCTCCATATGAATCTGCAACACTGTTTCAACACCATCTGTTGATAAGACTAGCATTTCATTCCCCACTGAATTACTCTGGCATCCTTGTTAGTTTTCAATTGTCTATACATGTGTTCCTGGTGTGACGCTATTGGATCAGCACTAGATTAATAACCACAAGGTTGGTGGTTCAAACCCACCAGCTGCTCCTTGGAAACCCTATACAGGGTCGATATGAATCAGAACTGACTCAACAGCACTTATATAACCATACTAAGTTTAGAGTTCTGGTGTGACACTGTAGGATAAGCATTGGACTGCTAATCACAAGGTCCACAGTTCAAACCCAGCAGCAACTCCTCAGAAACACTACACAGGGTTCCTATGATTCAGAACTGACTCCATGGCCCTGGCTACATAATAATTAAAGTGCTCAGCCACCAAACAAAAGACCACCCAACTGTTCCATGGGACAAAGATGATAGTTCACTTCCTTAAAGATAAACAGCTGTGGAACCCCTAGCGGGGGACCAACATGATGGCAATGGGCTTTTTTGGTCTTTGTTTTGTGTTTTTTTTTCCATATGCATGTATGGATCTACTTCTGAATTCTATTTCAAATATTTACTATAAACATATAAAGTATCAGAAAGACAAAAATACCCTAGTAGAAAAGAAACAGAATAAAGAAGACATGCTAAACACACAACTTATAAAAGAAAATACAACTATAAAAAGTTTAGCTTCTACTTAGCTGCATAAATCAAATCAAAATATTAAAATGAGCAGACTTTTATGTCTATAAGGATATATACCAAAGTGTTAATCTCATATGTTGCTAGGCATCTGGTTTATGAGTCATTTAAAATATTTTTAACTTAACTACTATTTCCAATTTTTTTAAAAAGAATAAACGATGGACTTCTTATCTAACTATTCTGTCTCTCTCTCAAGTAGGATGAAACACCAGAACGAAGTAAAACATATTTCTTCAACTATTTATCTGGAGTTTTAAATCACAGTCAAATATTCAATTAAAGTTACCTGCTGGTAATGGGGGAAATTTTTCAGGGCCTTGAAAAGCAGACAGGTAAACTCTGACAATAGACGAACAGGCATTCCCTTGGCCAGGCCCTGGCGCGTTAAGTTGAGGGCACAAGCACTGGCTGTGAACTGCACTGGCAAGTCCAATGGATGGTTCCTCATTCCTGTAGTCACAAGCTGAAGATGAACTTGATTTTAGTGACATATAAAACGACGACATTATTTAATACAGTCTCGTTTTTGTGTTAGTTGGCAAACATATTTGGGCATTGGGATAGTAACAGGTGTTCCCTAGCCTTAGTATATTTCATGTAGCACATTCAAGTTATTGCATAATACCTCCTAATTTAAACGTGGCCATTAACTATCCATGGTGTTTTCAATAGCCTCATATGGATGTGAAAGCTGGACAGTGAATAACGAAGATCATAGAAGAATTGATGCCTTTGAGTTGTGGTATTGGAGAATACTGAAAGTGCCATGGACTGCCAAAAGAACCAATACATCTGTTTTGGAAGAAGTGCAGCCAGAGTGCTCCTTGGAGGCCAGGATGGCTAAGCTTCACCTCTCATACTTTGGACATATTGTCTGGAGGAAACAGTCACTGGAGAAGGATGTCATGCTGGGTAAGGTGGAGGGTCAGAGAAAAAGAGGAAGACCCCTAACGAGATGGATCGGCCAGGTGGCATCATCGATGGACTCAAGTGTGGCAGCGGTAGTGAGGTTGGCCCAGGATTGGACATTGTTTCGTTCTGCTGTGCATGGGGTCGCTATGAGTCGGTTCTGACTCGATGGCACCTAACATTTAACTATCCTGGTGTGGCATGTGGATTAATGCGCTGGACTGCAAAGTTTGTTTGAACCGCATGGTTCAAACTTACCATCTGCTCCTAGGAAACCCTATACAGAGATACTATGGGTTGGAATCGACTCGACAGCACATAACAACACCATTAATTATCTGTAGGACTTTGGGACGGTCCTTCCCTTCACTGGACCTCTGTATTCTCAGCTGTAAAATGAATTAATTTCATAACAATTTACTGATCTTCATTCCATGCAAAGCATTGTGATAGCTACTGCATTAGACACAAACATACTCTGTTCTTCAGCTTAAAGTTTTGTGAGAGAAATCACACACATAAAAAACACTGTGAGGAATGCCAAAAAAACCATGCAACTGAAAAAAGCATCACAAAACAGGCATAAAGAAAGTACTGGGGTCCTGTAAACTTTACTGCATTCACAAAAGACTTCCAATGTAGGAAGGATCCAGCCTCCTCAAATTTTGGATTTTTATTCTATTCCTGTTGGGAGCAATGTTGCTGTTTTCTTTCAGATGTTTTCAAACACAAGTTTTTAAAAAGTGATGAAATGAATAAACCAAATTTTAGGGCAAAGTGATATCGTGCTAAATTGTTGTTGTTGTTGTTATGTGCCGTTGAGTCGACTCTGACCCACAGTGACCCTGTATAGGGTTTCCAAGGAGCAGCTGGTGAGCTTGAACCACCAACCTTGCAGTTAAAACAACTTTGCAGTCTGATGCATTTAGTCCATAGCACCACACCAGGATTAAATTAGTAAGTCTTATTTTAGGCAAAAGGAGCCCCAGTAGCACAATGGTTAAGTACTCTCAACAGCTAACAGAAAGGCTGGTAGTTCAAACACACCTAGGGCAAATCTGAGGAGAAATATCTGGTAATCTGTTACCATAAAAGTTCCCCAAAACTACTCTAGACCCAGAGAGGGAGAGGGGCTATGTAGTGACGACTGAGGGACAGGCTTGCAGGGTATACCCTTTGGTTGGCTGATGATGCATGGATGGGATTGTAACCATGGTAATGAAACGATACAGGGTTGGATGAATGTAAAGCTAATGTTTTCCTCCCAGGTAAACTATCACATAATTCACAATAAAACATGAAAAATTAAAAAAAAATTAAAATAACTGACTCAAGAGCAAAGGGTTTTTTGTTTTGTTTTTTGATAAAGAAAACAAGTGTAAATCGCTACAATTTGATGAACTTGACCTATACTTATGGATGTAGTAAAGGAGCTCTGGTAGCGTAGTGGTTATGAATCGGGCTGCAAACCTAAAGGTCAGCAGTTCAAAACTACCAGCTGCTCTGCAGGAGAAAGATGAGGTTTTCTGCTCCCGTAAAGATTCACAGCCTCGGAAACCCTGTTCAGGGTCGATATGGGTCAGAACTGACTCGACAGCACTTAACAACAACATAAAGGCACAAAGTGACTGGCTTACAAGTCTTCAAGAGGGAGTTTAGTTTCAGAAGATGTGGGGGAAGGTAGAATCTCCACTGAGTGGTTTTCAACCTGTCTAGATGGGGCTGGTGAAGGAGAGATGGGGTAAGATTCTTGTGGTTCAATAGTGAGTAATTGTTATTGTGACTGATTGTGATTGTTGCAACTGTAAAGGTAGACATTTTGTAGCAAAAGAGGGGAGTGGTTGATCTTGCAGTCCAGGAACAGAGGACCCTGGACCATGAAGGGAGAAGAGCAGGACTGGACTATGGGAACCTATTCAGAGAAGTAGCAACACCAGAGATGAAGGCAGAGATGATGACGTGGAGAGATGGATCTGCTGGAGACTCTAGACTTATAAAGGAAAAGGGGCTATGTGCTGGTGGCTGGGGGGCAGGCTTGCAGGATATGCCCTTTGGGTGTTTGAATTATTGCATATTTCTGAGTGTTTTGGTGTACATCCAAAAACAATAACAACAACAACAACAGAGGGAATAGAAGTAAATATTGTTGAATGATGATTTACGGAGGGTATTGTATCATTGCAATGAAATGAAATACTATAGGATGAATGTACAACTGATGTTCTCCCATGTAAACTATCGCTCAATTCACAATAAAACATTTAAAAAATAAAAAAGGTTCCCAAAACCAAGCCAAACCCACTGCCACCACGTCAATCCCGACTCACAGGGACATCCTAGAAAAACTCTGCTGGTCAGTTCTACTACTCTGTCACATTGCATCAACAACACCTAACAACATTTTAGACAAAATATAACAATGTCTCTATACTTGCCAATTTCTAAAAACTTCATGATTCAAACTGATTTCATATGGACTGAAAAGACTGAGATGCTTCAAGGGTATGGCAGGTAAGCCTAACATTGTTTTCTTTTCTGTGTGAGGGCGCTACAGGATATATGTCATTATGTAACTCATACTGGATATAAATTACTGTATGCAATGTGTTTGGTGAGTAACCTTCTATTTAACTAAGAAATAATACTAAAACTGCTTTTCTGAGGAGCAGTTACCTTTAAAATGGCAGGCATAGTTATCTGCACTGAAAACGTCTCTGTAAAGAGTCTGTAGAGAGCTTCCTTCATAAAACATGCCCGGTTCCTGTATCTGCTCAGTGCTTCTGAAATCTGACTCAGATTGGCTCCTCCAGCAACCTGCAAAAAAAAAAAAAAACAAGAGTTTTTGTGCCTCAATTATTGGAATCCACAGTAATAGGTGTTTATTAAATGTTCCAGATGCTTTGCAAAGCTGCTTTAATGTCATCATAAATCTAATAGTTAAATGTTCCCACCAGCTTCATTTATACAGATAAGCACTGAGAGGTGAAGTGCTTCATTAACATAAACAATGGTTATGTTGAGAAAAATAAAAGAACTTGAAACAAAATTAAAAAGCTACAGAAAGTAAATCAAGATAAAAGCTAAAGAGAGAACAAACAAGATGGCAAATCAGGTGGAAGTGCAGTAAGGAGCTCCCTCAGCAACAACACAGAATACAGGAGCAAGCAAGCTCAGGGGATGGTCCCAGAACTCTGAACCACATATAAAGGAATATTTAGAAGGTTGGAAAGCTTACAGATAGGGGAATTTGTAGCAGTAACAAGAAATCCATTGCTTTCAAATTCAAGATGCTCAACCCACAGTGGCATCTTGAAATTTGTCAAGAGTGAAAAGGGAAGCCCATTTCCTGATCACATCTACCTGGAGGCAATCAGAAAGCATAAAGAAATACCAAAATACACAACCATCTAAGTATTAAGGCCACAGATAACTCCTGAATATGCCCCAAAAACATAAGCAGATGACCATATCTGCACATGTCCAGAAATGAGACAAAGTGACTGAGGCAAATGAGCTGGAAGTAGACCTACACTCCATACTGGAAGATGGGCAAGCTTTGGAAATGCCTGAGAAAGAATTCAGAAAAATGATTATAAAATTTATCAAAACACTATATAATGGAGTTGAGAAAAATAAGAAGTCAGGAAAACGCTAAAGGAACAATTAAATTAGATACAGCATTGGAAACAATTCAAAACCTACAGAAAAAGGTCTAAACAATTAATACAAGAATATCAGAAATGGACAATATACTAAAAGGGCAAAGGAGTAGAATTCAAGAGATAGAAGCCAGAACTAGTGAGCTAGAAGATAAATCTCTCAACACTTATACTAAGACAGAAGAGCAAACACAAAAAAGGATTTTAAAAAATCTGAAGAAGGCCTAAGATTCATGTTAGACAACATGAAGAGGAATAAGTATTATCGGCATTCTGGAACAGGAAGAATCACACAAGTCCACAGAGGAGATATTTGAAGAGCTTCTAGAAGAAAAATTTCCTAACATCATGAAAAGTGAAAAGATAAGCATTCAAGAAGCTCAACGAACCCCAGGATGGATAGACCTTAAAAGACAATCACCAAGACATATAATAATTAAGCTCTCCAAAATCAGAGATAAGGACAGGATCTTTAAAGCAGCTAGGGAAAAGAGAACTGTAACATACAAAAGGCAAGCAAATCAGATTAAGCTCAGATTTCTTAACAGAAACTATGCAGGCAAGAAGGCAATGGGGAGACATATATAAAACCCTGAAAGAAAAAAACTACCACCCAGCAAAGCTGTCAATCAAATATGATGGTGTAATCAAAACATTCCAGGATAAATAGAAGCTAAGGGATTTTGCCAAAGCCAACCCTGCTATGATAAACATCCTAAAGGAAGTTCTGTGGACTGAGAACCAACAAGAACAGACGACAACTACAGAATGACGTACATGGCAGGATCACCTTGAACTCAACTGACAAATGAAAGAGTCAAGAACAGAATATAATGATAAGAAAAGAGGATCTGGGAGGTCAGTCTATGATCAAAACAATTACAATGTGAAAGAAGGTAAACACAGAAGAACAGAGATCCAGGTGGTGGGAAGGTCAGGTAGATTGCAGGATAAAATAGACTGTCTTAAATGGAGGACAGAACTAATGGAATATAAGGTAACCACAATGGGGTTGGGGGGGGTTTAGTTTGGGTGTTGGGGAGGACAATATTAAGAAGGGGGAGGGCACAGAAGAACAAGATAGATAGGAGAACACTGAGACAGGTTTGCATGGCCTAGTGGGACAGAGGTAAATAGTGATGCATACTCAATCTTGGAACAACAGGGCTCTGGGATATAGGGATCTTGGTATAGCTTGAAGAAGATAAATAATACTAAAATCCTTGACTGCCTTATGAATATTAGTTTCTCTTGCTTACTACTGTAAAATAGATACTTGAGTGGGATAGAAAGGAATGTTGGGAAACATGATTAGAGAAACCTGTAAGCCCATCTTCAGCCTATAACTGATTGGAATACCTAAAAGGGGTTCTACAACTTGCCCAGTGAAATAGGCCTCGTGTAAAGCCTTTACAAAGCATAGGACCTTAGGTGGAATCCTTAGTCCCATCCAGAACCTTATGAGGTGGGACATTCCTACTAGAAAGGACAAGCACACTGGAACAACTACAGTGACAGAAGATACATCTTCAAAGAAAGATCAGCAGGAAAAACCCAAAACAAAAATGTCAGCATGACTGGCTACTACAAGAATAAGCAAGCTGTTCACCAGAAAGACATTAAAGCTAGCAATCAAGTGCCTTCAGGACAAACTCCCCTCTAAGACTGAAACTCAAAGGGAATACACAAACAAGCATGTAAGCTTGCTGGCGACCACATTGGTCTACTGGTGAGTGGAAGAGGAAGAAAGGCAGCGATGAAGAAAAGGGCTGAGTTCAAACCCAGTCCATTGAATCCCGTTGACCTGGAGATGAGAGGACGAAGAGGAAGGGCTGGTTGGTCCAAAGTGTGGTGAGACCTGAAGACACTTGAGCCCATGGACAAGGACTTAGCCACAGAGGGCTAGAGCTCAAAGTGAAGCATCCAGCTGATATGAAGTGAGGGGAGATGCACAAGAACACCCAAACTTGCATACATTAAGTACCCTTTAGACCTAGCCTTGATGGCTCGATAATCAGAACTTGACTAGAGGAAGATTGAAAGGGGGAGGGGGGGATTTTTTTTGGATAAAGGAAACAAGGGTAAATTGCTTCAATTTGATGAACCTGACCTATACTGAGAGCAGTACTTACTCTAAATACCAACAGAGAGGGAAAGAGTCCTCACATCAAGTATCAATGCTACCCCCTCTGTACACAGGGGGACAAGCAACTTAGACACTGGCTACCTAAAATGAGGGGGCAATAAAGGCACAAAGTGACTGGCTTACAAGGTTTCAAGAGGGAGTTTGGGGGGAAAGAAAGAGTCCCCACTGAATAGCTGTCATCTTGTCTAGATGGGTCTGAAGAAAAGAGACGGGGATACGATTCGTAAGATTCATAATTGTTATCATGACTAATTGCGACTGTCACAATTGTAAAGGTAGAAATTTTGTAACAGAAACAGGGAAGTGGTTAATCTTACAGCCCAGAAACAGAGGACCCTAGGACCATCAAGAGAGAAACGGAAAAGCAGAATGAGGGACCTTATCCAGAGAACCAGTGATGCCAGAGAAGGAGGCAGAGATGGGGGCATGGAGAGGGGGAGTGGCTGAGGACTCTAGATTCCTGGACTAAGAAGAGAGGGCGTAAGAGCTGGTGGCCAGGAGGCAGACTTGCAGAATGTGCCCTTTGGAGATATAAATTATTATATATGCCTGAGTGGTTTAAAAAAAAAAAAAGATAAAAGATAAAATGATATGGGGAGAAAGTTAATCAAATTAATAAATCAAATTCTGGTTCCTTGGTGGAAAAGGCAACATGCTCCTATCTAATTTAATCAGGTAAAAAAGAGTGAGGGTGTACATATAGAAAAATTTTTAATTACAGGGAAAATGATAAAACCTGGACCTTCAGGCAAACAAAAATTAAGCGTAACTTCTGTTCTTCTAAACACATTTACGAAAATTAAAAAACTGACTGGGAGAAAATATTTCCAAAATACAGACATCTAATAAAGGAATTATACTGAAAATTTAGGACAAATTGTTAAAATTTGAGGCAAACGAACAATGGGTACGAAAGTGGGTAAAAATTTAAATAAGACTCTTCCTATAAGTTCTATTCATAGTCATCAAAAACCAGAATAATAAAACCAAACCTTAACTAGTGCGTACATAAGCAAATCATAGTGTAGTCATACAATTGTTGTTAAGTGCTGTTTAGTTGGTTCCGATTCATAGCGACCCCGTACAGGGTTTCCAAGGTGCGGATAGTGAGTTTGGACCATTGCCACACCAGGACTCCAGTCATACATTACTACTTAGCAATTAAAAAAGAACTAGCGAGACACAGACTCCTGGGATAGTACTGCAGGATCAGCACCGGACTGCGAACCACAAGGTCAGCTGCTCAAACCCACTAGCTACTCATATATAGGGTCGTTATGAGTCAGAACTGACTAGATGGCACTTAACAACAACAACTACAGTGAAACATAGAATCATAGTTTAACCTAAAAAAAAAAAAATAAGGTAAATGGGAAAAAGCAGGTAAAAGGCTATAATTAAGATTGCATTTATATGACATTTTGAAAAAGGGACAACTATGGAGAGAGAAATCGCTCAAACTGTATACAAGCTGTTTCACATAGAAACTGAGTTGGGGTGTTTTTGGGATTTTTGTGTGTGTGTGTTATTGTTGTTTTTTAACAAACTGAAGGTTTGTGACAATGATGTCCAAGAGTAAGTGCTCACTGTGTGTCTCTGTGCCCTATTTTGGTAGTTCTGGCATAGTTGCAATTTTTTCAATATTATTTTAGCTGTTACCATGATCTGTTATCAGTGATCTTTGATGTTACTATTATAATTGTTTTGGGATGCTACGGACCATGCCCATACGAGAAAGCAAGCTTAATCAATAAATATGTGTGTGTGTGTGTGTGTGTGTTATGAATGCTCCACTGGCCAGTCTTTTCCTATCTCTCCCCCATCTTCTCCAGCCTCCTTATTCTGAGACTAGACAATAATGAAATTAAGCCAACAATAACCCTACAATGGCCTCTGAATGTTCAAGTGATCAAGGAAGAGAGAGTTGATGTGCAATATTCATTCTTGTCTTATTTTAAGAAATTGCCAGTTGCCCCAACCTTCAACAACTACTCTGGTCAGTCAGTCAGTCAGCAGTCATTGACACCAAGGGCAGACCCTGCACCAGCTAAAAGATTATGCTTCATTGAAGGCTCAGATGATAGTTAGCATTTTATAGCAATAAAATATTATTAAATTAAGGTAAGTACATTGTTTTTTAAAGTATAATGCTACTAGGTACAGCTATTGGTCTTTCCATGTGCAGAAGAAAGAAGAATGATAAGAAATGAAGAGGCTTGGAATCAACTAGTCCAAAGGTCTAATGGGATATGTGGATGAACATCAGTGTCCATGACTCTGAAACCAGAAGAACTAGGCAATGCCCCAGCTACAGCTATCAACTGCTCTGAAAGGGATAACCTTAGAGGCTCCTGGATAGAGTGGGAAGAAAATGTGGGACAAAACTCATAATTAATCAGGAAACATGATTACAGAAAGCTTGTAAGCCCGTCTTCAACCTATAACTGATTGGAATACCTAAAGGGGTTCTAGAACTTGTCCCGAGAAATAGGCTTCTTGCAGAGCCTTTGCAGTATATAGGACCTTAGGGGGAATCCTGAGCCCCATCCAGAACCTTCTTAAGGTGGGACATTGCCACTTGAAAGGACAAGACCAGAACATTTGAATTATGGTATGAGAGAAGAATACTGAATATTCCATGGACTGTCAGAAGAACAAACAAATCTGTTTTGGAAGAAGTACAGTTGATTACTCCTTGGAAATGGCCATCATCATGTCATCTCTCATACTTTGGACATGTTGTCAGAAGCAACCAGTCAGTCCCTGGAGAAGGACATCATGCCTTATGAAGTGGAGGATCAGTGAAACAGACGAAGACCCTCAGTAAGATGGACTGACACCGTGGCTGCAACAATGGGCTCAACCAACAAAAACTGTGAGGATGGCTTAATACTGGGCAGTGTTTCATTAGGTTATAATAGGATCCCCATGTGTCAGAACTGACTAGGTGATACCTAACAAAAACATTATAAAGCTAAAAAAAGGTTTATATTCTAAAATTTAAAAACGTTTTGTGAACATTATACATTAAAACCTGAAAGAATAACATCCATCCTGTCCATTCTAATTTTTGGTACAAAAAATAGAAGTATTTCCTGTGTTTTAAGGCTTTCATTCAATTTTAATTTTAGCCATTTTGAAGTAAGCAACATTTGTTATCACCTGAAACAACAAAATTACTTAATCTATTTTGCAACTGATTTGCAAGATGTATTAAGGAGCCCTGTTGTTACTATACGATAAGCACTGGACTGCCAACAAAAGGTCAGCAGCTCAAAACCCATCAGCTTTTCTATGGGAGAAAGATGAGCCTTGCTAATAAGCCCACTAAGACTTACAGCCTCGGAAGCCCTTTTACAGGGTCACCATGAGTCTGAATCAACTCAATGGCAGTGTTTCGTTTTGGTATTTGAATATACTTGTATTAAACAAAAGGTTCTCTAAAACACATCTTTTAAATTTACCTTTCCTTACCACTCCACATAAGGTGGGATTAAAATGACTTAAGTTTCATAGTGCTGGGTGAGTGCTGGTGTGGCACTGTAGGATAAGCACTGGACTGATAACCACAAGGTCACCAGTCCAAACCCACCAGCCGCTCTTGGAAACCCTATACGGGGTGCTATGAGTCAGAACCGATGTCAGCAACAGAACAGCACTGGATAGACTCTGGTCTTTCCAACAACTTCCCAATAGTATGAAACACTGTTAAGTATTGCATAATTTTAAATATTCAAAAGCAACTAAATTTACACGCATATTGGGTAAATTTACTGAAACAAAACTTACCATTCTCTTTTGGTGTCCCTTTTTTGATAGTATCTACACTATACACTTGATTTCCATATAAGGTAATTGAGAACTTGTCCCATATATACCAACTTGTCCCATATATATGTCCCATATATGCTGCTCTTTTGATCTCTGTGGTCTTTTGATCATGTGACACTAATGTTATTAATCTGAAATAGGCCTGGCAAACAATTACTGATAAACATTTCTCTAATATACATATTAAATGCAAAAATTCAAATTATGTCTCCATTTATAACTTTATGATGTAATTGATATCTGTTTTCATTAGGGAACCCTGGTGTAGGATAAGCACTGGACTGCTAAACACAGGTCGGCAGTTCAGACCTATCAGCTGCTTCTCAGAAATGCTATAAATTAGGACTTGGAACCAGCTTGACAGCACTTAACCACTGCCTTATTTAGAGTCCAGAAAATTTAAAGGACTTTCAAAAACAACTGCTATTTTCCAAAGAATAAGATGTGAACACAATGAAATTACTCTGCAAACCACTTTGCTGTTCTCTCACCTTAGAGAGAACTACCTGAGGGATAACTATTTAAAACAAAAAATCTTTAAAGAATGGTTCTCAACTGTGAATACACATTAGAATTAGCTGGGAGCTTCAAAATTCCAGATGCCCAGGCCACATACTAAACGAACCAAATCAGAATTTCTAAGGGAAAGAACTCCAGTATTAATGTACCTTAAAAGTTCCGAAGTGATTCTAATGTACAACTGAAGTTAAAAAAAAAAAAAAAACTGTTTTAAGAAAGAAATATCACTAAACATTAATATTTAAATATATGTTGCTTTCAAGCATAACACCATAAGAAGCTATAAACTTACTCTGGAAATGCCTGAAACTATCTTAAGGCTCTTTTTAAAAATTGCTTTTAGCTTATAACTTGGTTAAAAATGGTATTATTCATGGTGACCACCTACCTTATTAATTAGATTCGCCTCTTAACTGAGAAGAGCAAAAATTTTAGAGTCACAAAGACTTGGATACAAATCCCAGCTCTACCACTGAATAATTGGTTCCATGGTTGTAGGTAGCTTCCTGAGTTTCTATTTCCTCCTCTCTAAAATGAGAGGACTCAAAGAGAAACCACAAAGGGTACAACACAGCATCTGTCACATATTACATGACATGTAAATGGCTATATTTATATTACTACCAATGGAGAAGAAATGGAGGTAGGGAGTGTACATTGTTTAAGGTTATACCTCCATGATCTACCACACAGTTGACATTAAATACTCATTGTTGAGCGCCTTAAAGATTTCTTATCTGTTTTTGTAACTCTAATGCCTTGTACTAAGGAGCTCTGGTAGCGTAGTGGTTACGAATACGGATGCAAGCCGCAAGGTCAGCAGTTCAAAATTACCAGTGGTTCCGCAGGAGAAAGATGAGGCGGTCTGCTCACATAAAGATTTACAGCCTCGGAAACCCTGTGTAGGGTTGCTGTGAGTCGGAACCGACCCCACGGCACATAACAACAACAACAATGCCTTGTACTAAGGGTGGTATACAGCAAGAGAGCTTAATTATGTTCTAAACAAATGAAAACATAAGGTATTTCAAATAAGAACAAACCCTCAAGTCTTGCTTTGTAGTAAAGAAGTCAGAATAACCAGCATCCGTAGCCAATAATCCCACAAACTGCATTGTAGGCCGCTGCTGAATAAATACTTCTATAGCTCCATCAGTGATGTAACTGCCCCCAGAAATATCCAGTGACACCACATTAGGCAGGATATCCTTCTGCTGTAGCAAATAAAAAGCTAGGTCTGATTTGAGTTGCCTGTGGTCAGAAATATCAAGGTGAAGCAGGCATTTAAGTTCTTTAATGACTGCAAGAACTTGTGGTTTGGTCATAGTCAGGCATTTCAGATAGTGCATTGTGAGAAATTTGAGACGGTCCTTACAGGTAAGGAGAGCAGAGATGTTGGTGACCAAGGTATTGGATATATCCAAGCTCTCCAGTCTTGGTAACTGAGAAACATTAGCTAGGTCTTCATTATGAAAACAAACATTAAAAACGCTTAAAACACGAAGGCCGGTGAGCTTTCCAAAGAAGTATATACTTGAATCTGTAGGGATACTTGTGGAGTCCAACAGGAGACACTGAAGATTTTGCTGGATCCAGCTATTGCTGCAGAGTCCACTTACGATGTCTTGGACTGGAAGGTCTGTGTGTACTGCAGTAGCATTCAGCTCAGTGAGCTTGTGATGGCAGAAGGCTTTCAGGAATGCAGATGGAGAAAGCTTAGCTTTTTGGATATTGGCCAGCTTCAGCTTCATTTGGTTGCCTTGGAAAATACTCGCTGTTCTATCAGTCAGCTTGCCTACAAGAGAACCAGAACCAGCTTACAATGACAACCAGATCTCAAGACTTCCTAAGACAAAAGCTACTAACAACAATAGTCACTACATTCAATGCTTACTCTGTGTCAGTAATTGTTCTTAACCCTTTACTCTGATTATCTTATTTAATCTTCACAATAGGCCTATAAAGATAATATTATTATGCCTAATATATAGCTGAGGAAACTCAAGTTTAGAGACGTTAAGTAGCTTGGGAATTAAATTGGGAATCAAGCCCATAAAGTTAGACTCCAGAGCGTGCCTAGACTTTTGCACAATAATTTTATTCACAGAGAGGACTAACAGAACTAGATAGGTAAACATGTACAGAAGGTAAACATGTACAGAATTATACAACATGCAAATAACACATTAACTAATGATTGTTTTTGCCCAAATTAATAGATGGTTTTTTGACATTTCACTTAACTCTTCTGAGCCTCGTTTTCTTCATTTGTAAAATGAGAAATACTGTACAGTAAAACCTACAAAAACCAGAACCTGTATAAAACAGAGAAGGTGTGTCCCTGCAGGTGAATGTGCTGGACTGCAAGATTAGTTTGAACTGCAAGGTCAGTGGTTCAAACTCGCCAGCTGATCTTGGAAACCCTATAACAGGGTCACTATGAGTCTGAATTGACTCAACAGTACTTAACAACAACAAAGTAGAGTCCTGGTATGGTACTGCAGAGTAAGCACTGCACTGCTAACTGCAAGGTTGGCAGTGCAAACCCACCAGATGCTCTCAGCAATACTACACAGGATTTCTGTGAGTCAGAACCAACTTGGCACACAAGTTAAGTTGGTATCAATTCAAAGTAGATTACTATAAATTTAGGTTGTATAATGTAATCACTCACAAAGAAAATACCTTTTAAAAAATTATATATGAAAGGAAACAAGAATGGAATTAAAATGGATCACAACCAAAAACAAAAAATCAACTAACATAAAAGTAGGCAGTACTCATGACTAATTTATTGCAATTGTCACAACTGTAAAGGTAGAAGATGTGTAACAAAAGTGGGAGAGTTGTTTGTGTTAAATTTCAGTAACCTAGAGGACCCTAACCAGAGAAGCAGCAGCAGAAGCAGATGTGATGGCATGGAAAGATAGGGCATCTGAGGACTCTAGACTCATGGAAAGACAAAGGTTGTGTGCTGGCGGGTAGGTGGCTGGCTCGCAAAACATGCCCTTTGGTTGTTTAAATGGTTAAATATTCCTGCATGTTTTTGTATACATACTAAAAGAAAAAGAGAAAGACCATAGAGGCAAATACTGTTATCTTGAACTTGACCTTTACTTGTAGATGTTGTTATGTGCCGTGGAGCTGGTTCCGACTCATAGCGACCCTGTACAGGATTTCTAAGGTTGTAAACCTTTATGGGAGTATAAAGCCTCATCTTTCTCCCATGGAACAACTAGTAGTTTAGCTGACCGTGAGATTAGCAGCCCAATTCATAACCACTATGCAACCAAAACACCAATTGAGAGAGAAAGGGTCTTCACATCAAGGATCAAGCCTATCCCCTCAGTACAAAGGGTTCACAGAGACAGGCAACTTAGATATTAGTTACTTAAAATGGGGGGGGGGCTATAAAGGCACAATATGGCTGGCTTACAAATTTTCAAGAGGGAATGTAGTTTCAGAGCTAGTGAGGAAGGTAGAATTCCCGCTGAATAGTTTTCCTCTTGTCTAGATGGGTATGGTGAAAGGAGATAGGGGTAGGAATTTTTTGATTTACTATTACTAGTGAGTGGCTATTATCATAAGGAACTCTGGTAGCATAGTGGTTACGAATTGGGCTGCTTATCTGTTGGCAGTTCGAAATTACCAGCTGTTCCACGTGAGAAAGGTGAGGCTTTCTGCTCCCGTGAATATTTACAGCCTCAGAAACCCTGTACAGGGTCGCTATGGGTCCAAACCAACTCCATGGCACATGACAACAACTGTTATCATGACTAACTGAAATTGTTACAACTTTAAAGGTAGAAGTTGTGTACAAAAAAGGGAGTAGTAGTTAATCTTGCACTCCAGGAACAGAGAACCCTAGGGCCATCAAGAGAGAAGAGCATCAGTGAAACATGGGATCCTAACCAGAGATGGAGGCAGAGGTGATGGCATGGAGAGACAAAGCAGCTGAGGGCTCTAGACTCATGGAAAGAGAAAGGCTGTGTGTGTGCTGGCGGCCAGGAAGAAGGCTTGCAAAACATGCCTTTTGGTTGTTTAAATAATTATATATTCCTGCGTATTTTTATGTGCATCAAAAACAAAAAACAGAGGAAATAGAAGCATATACTGTTAAATTATGATGCACGTAGGGGACTGTAATTGCAATGATTACAGTAAACAAAACATGATAGGATGAGTGCAAAACTGATGTTTTCCCACATAAACTATCACCCAATTCACAATAAAAAAGGAGCTCTGGTAGCACAGTGGTTACGAATTGGGCTGCGAACTACAAGGTCAGCAGTTCGAAACTACCAGGTGTTCCACAGAAGAAAGACGAGGCTTTCTGCTCCAGTAAAGATTTACAGCCTCGGAAATCCTGTTCCGGGTCTCTATAGGTCAGAACCGACTTGACAGCACTTAACAACAATTCACAATAAAAGCTTAAAAAAAAAAGTTGTAAGACATGCAGAAAATAAATACCAAAATGGCAGAAGTCTTTCCTTATCATTAACAGTTTTAAATATAAGTAGTTTAAACTCTCCATTCAAAAGGCAGAATTGGCAGAATGGGAAAGCATCACTTAACTGTATGCCGCCTACAAGATACCATCTTTCTTTAGATCTAAAGACACACACAGGTTGAAAGTACAAGGAGGGAAAAAAACATTGAATGCAAATTGCAACCAAAAGAGAGCTGGAATATCAATATGAACATCAGATAAAATAGACTTTACATCAAAATCTGTTATCAGAGTCCCAGCAATTACACTGTAGGTGTTATTGTTGTTAACTGCTGTGGAGTCTTTCCTGACTCAGAGTGACCCTGTATAGGGTTTCTGAGGCACGGCTGGTGAGTCTGAATCACTAACCTTGTGGTTCAAACTGACCTTGTGGTTGAGCATTTATCCTACAGCAGCAGTATACCAGGACTCAACTGCTAAGTATATACCCCAGAAGACTTAAAAACAGGGATTCTGACACTTGCATCCCAATATTCAATGCATCATTAGTCACGATATCCAAAAGCTAGTAAAAAAAATTAATGAAGATTCCATCAACAGATAAAAAAATAAAATGTGGTAACTTATAGACAGGAGTCCTGGTATGGCACTGTAAGATAAGTGCTTAATTGCTAACTACAGGGTAGGCAGTTCAAACCCACCAGTTGCTCCTCAGAAATCCTGTAAGTCACTAGGAGTTGGAATCAAATTAACAGCACAAACCAAAACTCTTAACATTTCTCAAGCTGAGGGAACTAAAGAAAAAATTCAAGCCTTGACTTTGATTTTTTTTTTTTTTTTAAGTTTTTACTGTGAATTGAGTGAAAGTTTACAGGGCAGCTCTTCAGTTTTAACAAATCATACACCTTGTTTCATTACAATGATTCTAATCCCCTCCATTACCATCAGATAACAGTATTTCTCTCTATTCATCTTAACTCTTTTTTTTTTTAAATACTCAGGCAAATATAATAATTTATACCACCAAAGGGCACCTTCTGCAAGTCCTGACCATTAGCTCTCATTCCTTCTTTCCATGAATCTTGAGTCAGCTGCTCCCTTTCTCCATGTCTCCATCTTGTCTCCATTTCTGGTGTCCCTGTTTCTCTGGGTAAGGTCTCACATACCACTTGTATTCTTCTCCCTTGATGGTGTAGGGTCCTTTGTTTCTGGACCATAAGATTAACTACTCCTCCATTTTTGATACAAAACTTGTACCTTAACAATTACGGCAGTGGCACTTAGTGATGATAACTATTACTCACTATTGAATCATAAGAATCTTATCCCTCTAAATGAAGTTACCTAACAAAGGAAAACCAGTAAGACCAAGCTCTGATTTCTCAGCAGAAACCAGGCAGGCAAGAAGGTAATGGAATAACATACATAAAACTCTGAAAGCAAAAGACTGCCAACTAAGAATCACATACCCAACAAAGCTGTTCCTCAAATATGATGTCAAAATTAAGGCAGAAATTAAAGGAATTTGTAATGACCAAACCAACTTTATAGAAAATGTTAAAAGGTTTTCTTTGGATTGAGAATCAAAAACAGCAAACAACCACCTAAGGTTACCATTCATTAAAACATTACCCAGAATTCAATCCAGATATAGAAGTACACAAACCTCAAAGACTGAAAGTAGGGAACCAGAGATATCAATGTATAACGAAGTCAACAAAAAAGCAAAAAGAAGGAATAGTATAGATATAGAACTTCCAAATGACAAGGATGTCAAGTAGATTTCAAAATAAAACAGACTGCTATAAGCAGGGGGAAAAAATGATCAAATAACAGACTAACCTCAAAGAAAAATAATACACCTGTACATCAAAATGTTTAAAAAGAAGCAAATCAGACAGGTTTAGTAAACATTAACACAACAGAAATGAAAATAACAAGAAAACCCACAAACAAAATGAACTCAGCATAGAAAATTATGTGGAACAAACAAAACAGCAGCACCACAAAAAACACACAGAAAAATTACAACAATCAATTCATACCTACTGATAACTACATTGAACATAAATGAATTAAATGTACCAGTCAAAAGACATAAAGAACAGAACAGGTAAGAATACAGTATCCTTCACTATGCTGTCTACATGAGACGTATCAAAAAGGTAGATACAGCCTAAATGCCCATCAAAAGAAGAAGGGTTACACTCTGATACATACACACAACGTACCTGCACACATGGAGGGTTCTGTGGCCCACGGATCTATGGGCAAGGAATCAAAGGGGGAGAAGACAACAGCAAGAGCCTGCACCTAGAGTCTCTTCCAAACCACTCTAGAAAATGGTGTGGTGCTTCCAAAACCTTATGATCCAGCAATTATTCTACTTGATATATAGCCACAAGAAATACGAGCCAGAACACAAGTAAATATATGCACATCACTGTTTACCGCAGCACTAGTCACAAAAGAGAGAGACAGGACAGCCTAACTGCCCATCAATGGAAGAATGGATAAACAAACAATGGTACATACACACAATGGAATACTATGCTACCTCGAAGAATAAGAATGAAGCTGCAAAACACCTCATAATATGGATGAACCTTGAGAACATTATGCTGAGTGAAATGAGTCAGTCACTAAAGGACAAATATTACATAATACCATTATTATAAAAGCTTAAGAAAAGATTCCCAATCTAAAAGAAAAATTCACATGATAGTTCTATGACAGGCATGGCAATACATAGAAGGGTGAGGAAGGTAGATGAACAAGGAGGATAGAGGCAGACTTAGGGAGGTATACATGGGCTAAATGAAATAGAGGTAAATAGTAATGTATACACAACCTTTGAGTAAAAGGGCTCTGTGATACACAGATCCAGCCAAAGTCGGAATGAGTAATAGAGGAGAAATAATGTTAGGGGTTTGAGTGTCTTATGGATATTGGTTTCCTTGCCTTCTATTGTAAAATAGACATTTAAGTGGAATAAAAAAGAATATTGGGAAATATGATTTCAGAAAGCTATAACTGATTGGACTGATAAATGGGGGAATTAGAACTTGCCCATGGTTGAGTCCCACCCAGATCCTTCTGAGATGGGACAGTCCACTTGAAAAGACATGCAGACCAAGCCGGAAGAACAGGAGATATTTCTTGAAAAAAAGACCAGCAGAAAAAAATTAGACTGTTTGACTGTTAGAATATCAAGCAAGCTGTTTGCCTTGGAGCCATCAAGGCAAGAGAAGTCAGTTCATAGAGTAATCCCCCTTCTAAGACTGAAACTCAAAGGGAACACATGAGCAAGTCTTGAATCCTCGCTGGTGACTGCCTTGTCCTACTTTTTAGTGAAGAGGGGGAATGCAGCAATGAAGACCTGGGCTGAGTCTGGTCATGTTCTACAGGCACCCACTGACCTTGATATAAGAGAGAAAAAAGGAAGGACTGGATAGTTTACAGTTCTGGGAGGCATGTGAACTCCCGAGCCCATGGACACTGAGCCAGCCACTGGAGACTAGAGCTAAGACTGAAGTGGCCAGCTGGCCTCTTGAAGGGAGAGGCATGCAAGAACTCCCAAACTTGCAGAGAGTACTCATTTGACATAGTTTGGATGGACAGCTGATCAGAACTCAACCAGATGAAAATAAACAAGTTTGATACAGGGACCAAGTATAAAGTGCTGCACTTTGATAAACTAGACCTTTGCTTATGGATGTAGTTGCTCAAAATTCCAACCGAAAGGGAAGGACTCTTCATATCAAGGATCAAGTTTGTCTCCTCAGTACACTGGGAAAGTGTACACTTTCATCTCAGTACACTGGATGGGCAATTTAGACACTGGCTATCAAAAATGGAGGGCTCTACAGGCATGAAGTGGCTGGCTTACAAACTTGCATGTGCTTAGTTTCAGAATAAGAGGGGTAAGGCAGAATCCCCACTGAATAGTTTCCCTCTTTTCCATATGGTTCTGGTGAAAGCACCTGAGGGAGGATGATCAGGATAGGATATTATGATCCCAATGTGTGCATTTGTTATCAGGACTAATTGTGATTGTCACAACTGTAAATGTAGAAGATGTGTAACTAAAAGGGGCAGTAATTAATCTTCCATTTCAGAAACAGAAGACTCCAGGAGCAGCAAGATGGAAGAACATGAGTGGAACATGGGATCCTAGCTAGAAAAGCAGCAACAGCAGAGACAGTGGCAGAAGGTGATAGAATACAGAGATAGGGCCTAGAGGACTCTAGGCCCAAGGACTGAGAAAGGCTGTGTACCTGCAGACAGGAGGCTGGCTTGCAAAGTGTGCCCTTTGGACATTTAAACGAATATTTATTTTCTGTTTTGTATGTGTATATCAAAATAAATAAATAAATGGAATAGAGGTAAAACTGTTAACTAATAGTTCATGGAGGGGACTATAATCATTGCAATGGAACAAAATATGATTTATTGGTTGTAAAACTGATCATCTGCTGTAAAGTTTCAATTAATTCACAATTTAAAAAAAAAAGGCTATTCTTTTTTGGGAAGCCTACTGATGTTTGTTGTTGTTGAGTGTCGTCGAGTCAGTTCCGACCCATAGCGACCCTGTACAGGGTTTCCGAGGGTGTAAATCTTTACGGGAGTAGAAAGCCTCATCTTTCTCCCGCGGAGCGG